TGAGGCTAAATGTTAGACCAGCAGAAACGAGCTGAAACTGTTACCTGTGTTATCAGCAGACTGATCATGCAGCAGTTGGTTTTTTTTCCATAACTGCTTATGTTTAAAACTTTGCTGGTCACTTTTGTGTATTTAGTTTCTGAATAATTTTAACAATTTTCATCATAGCAAAAGCAAAGTCTGAAAAGAATAATATACATTTTCTGTTTTTCTGAGGATATAAGACTTAATACTAAAGAGGAAAAAAGCTGTTTTGTTCCATTTTGCCATCGATGAACATTACACTTAGGTCCATGATCTCTTGGACGATGCAGCTTTTGCCGTTTTGCCTCTGAACGCCAGCACAGTGGATTTTAAATCAAGCAATAGAGATGTGATTAAAGGGCAGACTTTCAGCTTTAGTTCGAGGGGTCTTATAAACGTTTTGCATTCACTTTTTATTAATTACAGCCATTTTTAGAGGTTCAAAGAGAGATTGGAAACTGACTGACAGCAGTATCCTGGTCAGGTGAGGCTTGTTTCATTGTTATTTCATGACAAATGAAGCAGACAGATTATCTGAAGTTGACTTTGTATTTTATATCTTCTGACTGTAATTTTAAATATGAAGCACAAGGAGAAGTCAGTGCAAGTTGGTGAGGACACCATTAGGCTGAAAAACTTAAATAAACCTATCAGAGAGAGAATTCAATTCAATTCAATTCAATTTTATTTATATAGCGCCAAATCACAACAAATGTCGCCTCAAGGCGCTTCATAAGAGAACAACTTTGAGAGGTGTAAAATCTACTGTATGGTTTATTTTTTAAAAGCAGAGGAATGCACCGGACAGCTAACCGACACCAGAAGACCACATGATGACTAAATACTTTCATGGTTAGGAAAAACAACTCGACAGCATTCTCAATGTCTATAATCAAGACACACTTTCATGAGTGGAAATGCAGAGGATTTACAACAAGGCGCAAAACACTGGTTACATTCAAAATGTGTTAAACCCTCGAATTAAAGCTGAGCCTCTGCTGTTGAGTCATATCTTGACTGATTTAGAAACCACGGTTGTGGAGAACAGAGGAAAAACTACAAAACAATAAACAACTTGTCCATTAACCTAATAGGTAATACTTCTCTACCACTTGGTGCTGTACTTTACCTTAGAAGCTGCTGACTGAAGGTGTGTTTCTGCTCTGCAGTGAGCTGGGCACAGGGGAACCCTGGGGTCTGCAGTGTTTCTTTGAGCCACTGAGACAGCAGGGCCGGGCAGTGCCTGCTTAGATTGAGCAGCACCTCAGAGAAGTGCTCCGTCAGACTGCTGGGAGACTCACCTCCAACCGCCTGAGAGAGGAGGAAAAACGTACAATATGTTAGCATTAAAAGACAAATTCAGTGCCAGAATGGAAAAAGAAACCCATGGGTTTAACGAATTGAGGTGGACGCTCCGATACTGTCACTAGTTTACCTGCAGAACGGTCTCTGTCAGGAGCTTTCCATCCCTCTGCAACACATCACCAAATGAGGGCATGTCTTTACAGCGACTCAGGAACTCTGTCTGTCAGGAATAGGGTAGAAAAGGTGAGAAATTCAGTTCTGACAAGAAACGTGATGTTATATGAAAGTCTGCACATTTTTTGCCTCAGCTTACAAAGAACTGGCTGGCAGCTTTTACTGTGGGTGTCTCTGGAAACTTGAGTGACAGAATCCCTGCAGACAAACATGACTGATTCAGCGAGTGACTCACACAAAGGCACTTTTGCAGGAACTGTAAAAACAATGTAAAAATCTTCTTTTCATGAGCATGCGGTGATACTCACCACAGTAAAACAGTGCTTTCACATCTAACTGCTCAGACAGATACAGATCAGGCTTCCTTTTAAGAATCTAACAGACGAGAAGACATGGGTGTTGTAGGCAAACAATGAATTTCTTAGACGCTCCTAAACTCGCACGGCTTCCACCAACCTGGGCGTGAAGGTCCATAAACGATTCAGCAATGTCAGGATGATCTCTCGGACCTGCCGAGCAAGCACACGGTAAGAAAAGCCCTGATTCAAAACAGGTGCATTTCCACCAGCCTCTTATTACCTCGCTGAAATATAGTGAGCGTGGTGGATGTTAACACTTCAGTGAGGCTTCTGATGTGAGGGATGTGATGCTCCTCTCCAGCAAATATGTGAACCATCTTTAAAACAAACAGAAACAAAGAGACTGACATCTGAGCCTGCGAGAGTCTGTGTCAGAGTCAGAGAAGTAATACTTTAACTCTGGCCTGTGTATGCGGAGGTGTACCTGCCGAGCCAGGTCCAAAGCCGAGGCTTGTGGGAAGGCGCTATAGATCTCCCCCAGCATCTCTCCCAGCTGAGGAACCATGGGTCCAAAATCATGTAGGAGGGTTCGAACTGATTTATCAAAAACCCCACACACTGCCTGGTAGAGGGGGGCGCAGTGGGCATGTGTGAGTCATGAAACACACATACACACGTTTATGCAAGAGGTGAAAACCCTCCTACCTCTACCACCTCCGAGTCATGGAGCCATTTGCTGAGGATGGTCTGGATCAAAGTGAAGACTTGTTGTAGCACAACAACCACCTAAATTTAAGAAAAAAAAGAAAAGAATAGTTTTTAATTTAAAAATATTAGCATAAGAAGTTCTATATATGAACTTAGACACTTTACCCACAGGCATAGTGGGTTTTCTAACTGTTCTCTGCTAATCAAGCTGTTGTTTTTCCTCTGAACTTACTGGGTTTTGCGTGCTCTGGGGGACTGGGAGTCTGGAACTGGCTGCTCCCTCTAAGCAGTCTGCCTGCCTATTGATGTCCAGAGTGGTAAAGAGACTGGCCAGCATCCCCACAATGTGGATGATGCTCTGTTTATTAGTGGGATTCAGCTGTGGGGAGAGAGAAGGTACATGGATCTGATAGGTACAGCACAAAGCTTGAAAAGCTTAAAAAAATAAAGGACAAGTAACTGTCAAGTGTCAGAGTGAAGCCGCTGCTGTTACTGTAAAAGCTGTGCTAAGTATCTGAGTGTGAAAAGATGTTTTTAACATCTTAACTGACAAACTGCGCATCGAAATGCATTTTATCTGCACTCTAACAACTCTGGATTACTTGCTGTGCTCGATTTGCAAAGGAAGCATTGTTACTCTTTCTAAATGTGGATATGTTATATAACAAATGACTGTTTGTGCACTTTCATCACTGTTTTCACTTGTTTGTCAGTGCTTTAAACTGGAGGGGGGGCGGCGTGAGTGGAAAAACGCTGATGTCACATTCACGCAGGATTGTGCAACAGTGCAATCAAAATGTGATGACGGCTGTGGGGTTTCCCCCATCAGTTTTAATTTAAAAAAACACTCAGACACAGAGCTGCCAGGTGATGCAGAACTGCTTCAGAAAAACAGAAAGTTCTTCTTCTTTCTCATGAAGTAAATGACGAACTAATCAAACTAATCACACTAATATCTCTTTTACTTCAGACCAAATTGTCACCAGCATTAAAAAAACAACAAGGTCACCCAAACAATTCGTAGGCACCAGCACCTCTTCTGTAATTGTGAATTCAGTATCACATTTGTATCAGTTACAATTTTCATTTTCACTGTTAAAATAAAGGACCGGCAGCGAGACTTGCCAAAAAAATACAGTACTATGCTTTATATAATAGAAGCTTACCAGTATAATTATCAGTACAACTGTATGTATCTGTATCTATCATGCAATGCAGAGTCTTCACTGTTGATTAGTGTTTGCACCCCATCCTGGCATTTACATACAATGATGTGACAAAGAAGTTGTCCACAGGACTCTCTGCAGTCCTGTGGACACTGAAGCACCTTGATTCTTTCCTTTTGCAGTTAATCTGTTTTAGATTTGCTGCTGTGTTTGGGATCATTGTCCTGTTGCATGACACAGTTTGGGCCAAGCTTTAGCTGTCAGGCAGATGGCCTCACATTTGTCTCTGGAATACTTTGGTATACCTACGAGTTCATGGTCGACTCATTGACCTCTGCGTAGTCCTGTAGGTGTGAAACATGCCTAAATCATCACTCCTCCACCACCGTGCTTTAGCGTTGGTATGAGGTATTTGTGCTGATATACTGTGTTTGGTTTTTGACAAACATGATGATGTACTCTATGGCCAAACATTGTTTGTTTGAATGAGGACATTGTTCTAGAATTTCACTGGTTTGTTAAATTCAGCTTTGCAAGATTTACAATTTTTTCCAGATTGTGAATAATCGTTCTGACTGTTTAATGACGGACGTCAGATTGTTTGGAAATAGTCTTGATGGGCAGCTATAATTGCTTCTCTAAGATTATTGCTGGCTGCTTTCGTGTTTGCCATTGTGTTAACACACACCTGAATGTTTCAGAGCAGCAAACTGCCAAACCTGCTGCTTTTATAGAGGAACTCACACTTGCTGATGATCAGCTAATCACATGATGATATGATTAGCAGCACTTAGCAGTACCTGTCACTTTAATTCCTATGGTTGTATTAAGGATGGATTTCACATGACTGCATATCGATATGGTTTCACTCAAATTGCACTGATGACGGTTTGTAGCTGAAACATGTGGATTTAACATTGAGAATTTATAATAATAGGTAAGTGATGGTGTTTTGTCTGCTATATGTTATTAAGACTGGTCACCCTATACAGTAAACACTGGAATAAACCATTGCAGACTATTACAATACTACCCCCACCCACATTTACACATATACAAACACACTCAAAATAAACCAGACACTAATATTCTGTAGAAAATATACAAATATTGCTGCTCTTACTTTTT